CGCTCCTTCATTTCTTACTGAAAACATTCTACTTTGGGCCTCCAGTTTTACTTGTTAAATCATGTAGGCCCTAAGAGAAAAGATTTAAGTGCACCAAGATGCTAGTAATGGTGAATTGATTTGAGACAAAGAACTCAGTAAAGGTCAGCTAACGTTTGAGAGGAAAGTTCAATCACTGGCCAGCCCACGTATTTTACTGTAGAAGTTGGGGTGAGATTAGGGCCAAGATGAGTTCTCATGGTGGCGGATGGTGGGAAAAATGCAATGGCAACAAGCGCTTTCACTCATTCAACCCCACTTTCTCTGCTTTTTAAGATACGAGAATGCGCTGGGAAGAAATGATTTAATGACCGTGAAGACTCAGGTTAGCATGGGGCTTGGGGTGGAGTATGGAAGCTTTTCTGAGGAAGGGATGTTTCAGCTGGGGATGAAAGGAGGAGTTTTGCCACTCTGCAAGTGGAGACCTCTCGCCAAGATGACTTGAACAGGAGGGAGAAATGGGCATCCCTGGCAGCAACAACTTCTAGAAAGAAGGGGAGGGAAACCCCAGGGAGTAGCAGGGGCAGGAGTAAGAAACTCCTTAGGACTCTGGGCCAGCCAGTGTGGCAGCAACTCAGTAATGACCATCCCTGTTCCAGGGCCATAATTAAATAAAGGTCCATCTGTATTCTCAAAATTGAAGGGTGACTTGGTAAAATGGTGCTTTTATTACCTTACTGCTGCTTCTTTTCTTATGCTTTTTTCCCTTTTCCAGTTGAAACAGATAGCCTTCAGAATTGCTACGGCTAATTTTCACTTGGTTTCTTTGGCTTCTCTCTGAACTGAGTTGGGATTCACTTTCTACCCTTGACAGTATAGGTGGAAGCGTGACGCTGGATAAGGCCCCTTCACTGGGCTGCACGTCGGTCAGCTGCACCAAGGCTTGCTGATGCTGCTCCATTATCTGGGTGAGCCATGAATCTGGAGAAGCTCTAACGGGCTGGCTGTCAGAAGAAGAATGGAATTTCCTTAATGAAAAAAAAAAGCACAAATCTATTAATAAAATCTGGATACATAAGACCTCTAGCATAAAAGTCTTTCTGAACCATTAACTTGACGTATTTATCACTCCCAAAGCAAATTAATGGCATTTAGCTTAATCTTTTCATGACTACATTAATTTCTTACTTATCTTAAACTCCTCCTCTTTTTCCTTTAGGACGGTCTACATTTTATTTAGAACTTTTGTTTAGTGTATTCAGAATAGAAAAACACCATTTTGAAAACTCAAAGACCTTCCCACTGCAAAATACCTAGAAATGTTGCATTACATTAAACATCCTTTAAATACATAGTTGAATTGGTAACATAAATAGAAATCTCCGAAGACCAAAATGAACAAAAGGAATAAAAACCAAAGCAGATTTTAGATTAGCTGAAGCTATAGCTTTCTTTACAAGAGTTTTGGGTCTCCAGGCGTGAGTTTTAATAGTTAACGCCGGAATAGGATATGCAAGATCTTGGTGCTGTGTGAGGCAGGGAATCAGAACTAAGATCGTTGTAAGAAGACTATAACTTGAGGTGCTATATCCTCATCCTCAGTTAAAAGCCACATTAATTAAAAACCCATTCACCAGCCGTGAGAAACAATAAGCAAGTCTGTCTGTCTTGGTCTCTGGGCTCTGAATAGAAAAACAGAACAAACCCCACTCCCCACAAAAACCCAACAGCAACAACAAGCTCTTGTGAGTATCTATTGGACAATATTTGGATTTCAAATTTACCTTACCCACATAATCATGGAAATCCAACACGAAGAAACTAACATAAAAATGATCTTGGATGAGGGATACTTCTGTAGTATCTGGCAGAAGCAAATATAAAACTTCTCTGGAGAAATACACTCCCACCCAAGCCTGCCTAGGTTTCCACAGGAAAGGTGGCTAAATGTGAGTTCACAATCCAAGGTCCTTGCCCAGAAGAGGAAATAATCTATCAAGTATGAGAGTCAGCAGACACACATGCACACACATCCAAATAGCAATAGTAGACTTCCAAGAACTTCACATAGAGAGATCCTAGATAACATTCAGAAGGTCGTTTAAGATGAGTAAAGACACGAGAAAAGAAGTTAAGAACCCAAGAGACATATTTTAAAATCCTGTATTTTGGAAAAAGAACAGAGAGGTTCAATCAGAACCAAATAGAAATTCTAGACATGGAAAATATCATCATTGAAATTTAAAACTCAATGGATACATTAAAAAGCACATCTTGGACACAGGTAAAGAGAGATTTATTATGCTGGAAAACTTATTTAAATACATTTTTCAAAAAGAAGCACTGAGAGATAAAAGGTGTAAACTAAAAACAGTTTAAAAGGCATGAAGTCTAGAATAGACAATCTAATATACGGCTATTTGGGGTTCCTACAGGAGAAAATAGAGTAAATTTGAGACACATAATATTCAAAGGGGGCCGGGCGTGGTGGCTCACGCCTGTAATCCCAGCACTTTGGGAGGCCGAGGCGGGTGGATCATGAGGTCAAGAGATTGAGACCATCCTGGCCAACATGATGAAACCCAGTCTCTACTAAAAACACAAAAACTAGCTTGGCGTGGTGGTGCGTGCCTGTAGTCCCAGCTACACGGGAGGCTGAGGCAGGAGAATCGTTTGAACCCGGTAGGCAGAGGTTGCAGTGAGCTGAGATCGCGCCACTGCACTCCAGCCTGGCGACAGAGTGAGACTCTTGTCTCGGAAAAAAAGAAAGAAGAACCAGTCAGATCTCCAGATCACCATCTCCATTTTGTGCACCTAGGCAACTGTCCCTTCCCTCTCTCCACAGCTCACTGGAGGTTTTCATTCTGAAGAAGCCAACGAGTCTCCTGCCTGTGAAGCACCAAGCAGAGATAATAAATCTGACCACCAAGATAAAAGACCTAAAACTTACAGGAGGGGCTTCCTATCAGATGGCCTCTACAGATCATTCTATAGGTACTCAAAGTCAACAAGCACTATCACTCAGAGCTTCCAATAAGCTTTCTAGTCCCTCATACTTGATCACGAGAAGACGATCAAGCATTGCCAGACATCTGACACAAGCCATAAGGTGGAAGGCAGCAAAATAGGAGAAGAGAAACAAACATCACTGACAAAGACCTAGAGGAAAGAGAAACAAAGCAGGGAATTAAAAACACTGAAAAATTCAGTCACAAGGGCCCTTACAGCCTATTTTGCCTTGTTGAAAATCTAAGAAGATGTTGAGAAAAAAGGATGTTGCATCCACGAACAAAAACATGAGGCTATAAAAAGAGGAACACTCAGAAACCAATAACAGAAACAACAACAAAAAAATCCTGTCGGAAATTAGCAAACATGATAGCAGTAGAAAGACTGGAAGCTAGGACTGAGAAACTCTCCCAGACAGTAGAACAAAATTACGAAGAAATGGAGAAGGAAAGAGAAAACAAAATCATAATAACAGTCCTGGAAAAACACATCTGAATCATAGGAGTTTCTAGAAAGAGCAAACAGAAAATGGTTGAATGGAACTACCCATAAGATGACTCAAGAAATTTTCCCAGAACTGAAGGTCATGTGTTTTCAGGTTTAAAAGCCCCAGCTTAATCTATGAAAATAGACCTATACGAAGGCACATTATTATGAAATTTCACTTCAGTAGAGAAAAGAAAAGATCCTAAAGCTTCCAGAAAACAAAACAAAACAAAACAAGTTATATATAAAGGATCAAGAATAAGGTGGCTTCAGATTTCTCAACAGCAACACTGGATGCAAGAAGGCAATTCTGAGGGACAATGATTTTCTTTCTTTCTTTCTTTCTTTCTTTTTTTTTTTTTCTTTTGAGACGGAGTCTTGCTCTGTCACCCAGGCTGGAGTGGGCGACATCATAATCTTGGCTCATCACAACCTCCACCTCCCAGGTTCATGCCATTCTCCTGCCTCAGCCTCCCTAGTAGCTGGGATTACAGGTGCCTGCCACCATGGCTGGTTAATTTTTTGTATTTTTAGTAGAGACGGGGTTTCACTGTTTTGGCCAGGCTGGTCTCAAACTCCTGACCTTGTGATCCACCTGCCTTGGACTCCCAAACTGCTGTGATTACAGGCATGAGCCACTGTGCCTGGCCAATTTTCAATCAAGAATTCTACAATCCTCTGCCAAGCTACCAATCAGGGGCGAGGGCAGAAGAAAAATAATTTCAGCAAGATCTCAAAACATTTACTTCTCAAGCAGTGGAGGATGTTCTCTACCAAAATTAGACAGCAAACTAAGAAAGAGAACGGGGATGTAAAAAAACAGGAAGGGTGACGAAGGAGAAGAGTGAAGAGAGTCTCCATGAGGACATGGAGATTCTCAAGGATAATATGAGCACAACAACAGCGGAATGCAGTCAGAAAACAAGTGTGGCACAAGACACTGGCACGCTGAGAACTGACCATCACCCTGTCCCCTGTCCTTAGACCACATTTTCAATCTGAAAAAAATCACCGGAAGGGGTGCTCAAACAAACTAAGGAAAATGTGAGATACTGAAAAGAGAATCCTATCAGAAGAAAGGCAAAGGGAATCCTCAGCCGGACAGCTGTGTAGCAAGTTTAGAACGAGAAAGAAAGTAGTCTAGAAAGTCGAGCTCCAAGAAAGAGACAAGAATTGAGAAATTGCCAGATGTAGTTGTCCTTATGGAAACTTACACTAAGAGGCTACTCAAAAGTGTAGGATCAATTAGCTATATGTACAGAGAAAATTAGGCAGAAGCAGCCCAGGAGGTTGAGGTTGCCAAAAAGATTAAAAAAAAAAAAGAAATGAAAAGAGGGACATGATTATAGATATAATAAAAGTGGAATAATATTAAAGTTATTTAAATACTACAAAAAGTTTTATGACAGTACATTTTAAAACTTAGCATAAAAGGAAAATACTTCCCAGAAAAATATAATTTATTAAACTGACTAAAGTGAAAATGAAAAGACTGCAAAGTCTTATAATGATTATAATAAATGCATCAGGAGTTTAAAATCTGCTCACAAACAACAACAAAAAGCCAAACGAAACCCATTTATGGCCCAATAGTTTTAGAGGAAAATCCTATCAAATCTTCAAGTAACAGATAAGGCCAATTGTATATAAAGTGTCCAGAGGATGCAAAAAGAGGAAACAGTCCTCAACTCATTTTATAAGGCTGGTATTTTCTTGATAATCCACCCAGTCAAGGCCACTGGCAGATAGGAAAATTATAAACCAATCTCACTTCATGTATATGAAAATGTTAAATCTTAAAGTGTTAACACATCAAATCCAGCAACTTATTAAAAATGCAGTATGACAAATTGGGTTAACCCTAGGAATAAAAGGATAGTGTGTCATCAGAAAATCTGTTAACATATTTCATTACATTAAAGGATTAATGGAGAAATGTTTCAATAAGTGCAGAAAAAGTATTTGATAAAATCAAATACCCATTTATGTTGAAAGTTATTTGCAAAGAGCAATAGGAGGAAATTTCCTATCTATCATCTATCTATCTACCAAAAACTAAATATTATTTTTAATGGTAAAAGTGTTAGAAACAATCTTTCTAAAATCAGGGAAAAAAAGACAAAGATGCCTGCTATTTATCATGATCTCTTCTAGGAAGCTAACTTTAAGTCTTATTGAATCTACATTCCATACCACCAAGTGTAGCACTTAAATGTTCTTTGATCAACTCACAAGGGAGTAATTGTCTCCCTACTTTGAAAGTAAGTTCCCTGAAGGTGCCTCACACACCATACTTCTTTGTATCTTGTATAGCATTGAGCACTGTAGCATTATATTCAGCATGTTAGGGATGTAGAAACGATGTTTGATTGAAGTACACCAAGAAATGGTGCCTGAAGTAATTTTTAAAATAACTTTTATTCTCCTGTTTATAGAAGTTATACATCTACATTGTCGGGAACTTGAACTGTTCTGAAAATATAAAGAATAAATTTTTAAAATCCCAATCTCTCTTGCTAGAGATAACTACTATTGATGTTTTGGTGAATTTTTCTTCTTCTGTGCATATTTGAACACAGTAGAGCTCACACAGTACAGCTCATACTCCCTAGATGTAATTTTTTTTCCACCAGTGTCATTCAACCCAAGGTGTAATTTTGTACCTTACTATTTTCTTCCTATAGAAGCATTTCCTCATAACCATATTTTTTTGTGGTTCCATGATACTAAATATCATAATTTACCTAAACATTCCCTATTGTTGGATTTTTAGGTCATTTCTATAAATGATGATATTTTTTGTATGTGCATATTTTTCTGTATTTTAGATTATTTTCTCAGGATAGGCCAAGATAATGTTGGAGATCATTTGTTTCCTCCAAACATTACTTGCAGCCCTCAAAAAAGCACTGATGCTTTTTGACTGGGTGCCTCTGTCCTTGTCTCCCTCCAACTTCTAGTTTAACTACAGGGGAAAAATAGAGGAGACAGGGAAGAGGAAAAGAAATCCATGAAAAGTAGACTCGGCTGGGCGCGGTGGCTCACACCTGTAACCTCAGCACTTTGGGAGGCCAAGGCGGTGGATCACTTGAGGTCAGGTGTTCGAGACCAGCCTGGCCAACATGGTGAAACCCCATCTCTACTAAAAATACAAAAATTAGCCCAGTATGGTGGTGAACGCCTGTAATCCCAGCTACTTGGGAGGCTGAGGCAGGAGAGTTGCTTGAACCCGGGAGGCGGAGGTTGCGATGAGCCAAGATCACACCACTGCACTCCGGCCTGGGCAACAGAGCAAGACTCTGTCTAAAAAAAAAAAAAAAAGTGGACTCTTTGAGGCAGGAATCAGAGCTAAGGAAGTTGTTAGGTGAACTCTTCTTCTCACCTAGCCATCCTTATGGATTCCCCTTGCCCTTCTCCCTCTCCAGTCTTTCTGTAGCAGTCTCTCCTTTCTCCTCTAGAAAACCACTTGAGAAAAGGGAATTCTTACCATAACATTTCTAGGTTCCTGTATTTTGTCTCTGTGTAAGGCTGTTTGGGTTGTTTCTTATTTTCAGTTGACCCATGAACATTTCTGTGATAAACCAACTGAGAGCCTTTCTGGCTCGGGAGCACGTGTCTCTTAGAGAGTTCATTAAGGTTGTTCAAATCCATGTCAGAAAGGGTGTGTAGCTGCTGGTACGAAAATCTTTTCTCTTCTTGGTCTTTGTGTCCTCTTTCTTTATTAACATTCAGTCCAGAGTCATATCCAGTAGAGTTTTTATCTAAGACCTTGTCAAAAGCCTGTTTTGGTGGAGCAAATGTATTGGAGGTTTCTTTGAGATTCTGGCCCCTAAGTGCCCTTGAAGCTTGTGCATCATTGTTAGAGGCGTGCATAATCACAATCGATTCAGGCTTTGGTGAAGTATCAAGAGGCTTATTTTGGTTCTGTTGCTGCCTGGGAGGGTTATTCTGGTTCTCCGGACTGGCAGTCACCTCTTCCGCTGTGAAAGACTTCAGGCCATTTTGGTGTTTATGCTGTTTTCGAATCTTGGGCTTGGCTGGTCTTCTGGAAGGCTGATGGTCATTCACCGTTTCAGAAGGCTGCCCTCTTGGTACACTGCTTGATTTTGTACTCTCATATTGAGACCAGTGTTCCTGGTAATTCTAGAGAGATATTTTTGGTTAATGTAAAATTAGAAGACTGGCACTCTTCACAAATTTTAAATCAGTGTTTTTCAAATTGGGGACTGGGAAGCTGACTATAGAACTGAAAGCAGAGACAGAAAAAGTAGAGGTTTTTTTTTGTTTTTTTTTTTCCTAATTTCAGGGCAGTGGAGAGTTAATAACTGAGTGATTCCTCCTGGAAATTTAGGATTATAAGCCTAGAAAGAAATAGAAAGCTTAGAACGGGCTTTATATTAAGGACAAGTCTTTGGCTTAAAAGTTTAAGTTTTAAAAGTTAAGTCTTTGACTTAAAAGTGTCGCCAACTTGGGGGATGGGGTGGGGAAGCTTTACTTCGAGAGATATGGAGAAAGTACAAACGCGAATCTACGTCACAATATATAAGCTTATTTTAAGTAACATGAATATTTTTAAAAATCTTAACCAGAAAACGCTAATAATTTGCTTTATAAACAAAGTACAAATCTAATATTAAATACAATTCAGATGATCAGATCTTTTTACTCATGCTGGTCAGAAGCTAGAAATGACCTCTTCACCAGATGAAACAAATTAGATTTTATTCAGAGGATTATAAAAGAGTCTGTGCTGTGATAGGACATCTGTGAAACCACAAGGGTTGTTTTGCTTCTGTTCCTTAATATAGCCTGCGCTTAGGCAATCAAACATCTGGGGGAAATATTTCAATTTCAGAACAGTCTTTATGCTTTTCAAAGTCTCCTAACAACAAAATGTACTCCTGGTATAATAGATACACTATGTAACTATATTGTGCTATTGCCATTTAGAAATATTTTCCAAGGAATAAAGCACTCATTACTTTGTGAAAAACTGGCTGAGTTAAGAGACCTTTGCAAAGAATGATTACATGCTTATTGAAAACAATAGGATGACCATATGCATCAGTGTGTTATATAACTGCAATATATTTCTTCCTTTCTGAACACATATATTTAAAAAATCTCTTTAGCTTATAGCTATAAAACATTAACTGAAAAATGCAGCAGTTGGATGAATGATTATTTTAGCTTGCTAGAAAGAATGATCAAATTACTGTGATAAGAGTTCAGCTTTGATTTCTCGTTTCTGATACATTCTGATACAACCACTAAGACTCATCCTATTCGTGTATAATATTAAGCAGTGTTCTATTTCTAGTGAAATCACGTTATAATGATAATGTTGATTGTTAAATTTAAAACAGCAATATACAGTGTTACTTATTATATCACATTTTTAAGAAATAACGCTTCTAATTTGAAATTTAGAAGCTGTTCTTTTGAGAATTTGAGCTTTCTAGGGGATTGGCCAGGCTCTGATTAGCTCCTACATACTTTAAATTTTTACTTGTGGTGCTCCAAAAAAAGGGAAAACTTATTTTCTGTATTCCAGGTAAATTCCAGGTATTCCTTTCATGCAGTAAATTGAGCTGCTTGGGGAAATGTGGGCAGGAAGGCTCTGCAAATACATAGCGCCAAGAAAATCCTTTCTTGTAATGGATCCAGAAAATAATTGCTATTTTACAACGTTATAGGTGTGGTCATGGAACATAGCAGCTCTTTTTATGACTGGCAGCACTGTTCGTGAAGGTCAAAAATGTCCCCCTTGACTGTGACCTAAAAATATTAATTGATGCTGATAATGTCACTCTTTTCAATATTTGTTCAGCCTTTAACTCACTAGAGAAGTAACCAGGATGCTGCCATCTAAATGTACTTTCCCTACTTTTCTCTCTTAATTTTCACCAAAAAAGAAAATACTTACTTCTCAGAAATTTCTTGGGTACTAGATCTGAAATCCTGGGTTACCACTTGATCCTAATCACGTTATTACCTTTGCTGCTGACAATCCAGATCACAATAGTACACTTCACAGGGCACTTTGACAACAACAAGGCCAAGGACTCATCATTTTATGAAACTCCAATTGTCTCAAGTGTTAAATCTTCTATTCACATAAATATAAGTGCCCAGAGATGGCATTTCAGTCCCCAGAAAGGAAGCCATTTATGGGCTTGATACGATTTTTCTCACCTTCCAAGCAGCCTACTTGAGATCTGTGGTTTACTAAAGATTTATTACCCTACAACTGGGGCATCAGGTGTCACTCTTTAGGTGGCAAGACCTGAGTTCCCTGAAGTTAATATACAAAGCCATTCTCAGACGATTTAATCTCCATCAGCACTGAAATCCTCTATTCCATCCTGCTCTCACTGGGGTTCTTTTGTTACCAACACTCGCAATCAGTACATACTCCATGCACTTAGAATAACTGCTTAATGGCAGTAGGTTTTTGCATCACACATGGAGCGTTAGCATGGGGGAATCCTGATGCCTAATGCTGGGATGATCATTTCTTAGTAGGGCTCATCCTCAGTTATTAAGTAATGCTCATTCATACTGTGCCACCCAAGAGAACTTTGTCCCCAACCCTGTGAAAGGCAGCACCTGGTTGTTTCTTTTTTACGACTTTTCCTTTCACATGTCCTAAGCAGACGGGACAATGCCTGCTCTGATCGCAACCAAAAAGTTCATCTGCTTCAACACAAAAGCCACTCCTGCTCTTAGTTAACCTGACTCAACCACGGGGTCCCGAGAGTTGTGCCTGGGCTCCGAGATCAGCTCTAAAGTGGAGAAATTTCTGTTGTGTTCCGCTTTTCTGCTGTGTTTATGAACAATAAAACATGAGTACTTTAAGCCTGAGATACAAATTCCATCTGATAATATTAAGAGAATCTCAAGCAAAAATATTAATTGGCTCTAATTTTCTCTGTGGGTAAGGAAGAACTCTGTGTTCAGATGAATAGAAGAAGCATAGATCTATTGATGGTGTTGGAGGCAAAACCAAATTAACAGCTTTTTGGAAAGGTTAATCAGGATTTGATTACAAGGGCTTTCATATTAATTAGTAAAAGATCCCACATATCTTTAATACTATCATTATCTTTTCTTTGCCTGGAAAGCTAAGAGTTATTTTAGAGGGGTAAGAAAGGAAACATCCTATTTATCCTTTCGAAACACTACTTAATTGGGGAACCTCTTATTTTTTCCAACTGACATGTTTCTTGCCTGGTGCCATGGTTTGAACATTTGTGTCCTCCCTAAACTCGGACGTTAAATCCTAACCCCCAAGGTAATGCTATTTTAAGGTAGGGCCTTTTCGAGGTGACTAGGTCAGGAGGGCAGAGCCCTCCTGCATGGGATTGATGTCCTTATAAAATAGGCTCAAGGAAGCTCATTCACCCCTTCCATAGTGTGAGGACACAGTGAGAAGGCGGCACCAATGAACCAGGAAGCAGATCCTCACCAGACATGGAAACTGCCAGTGTCCTGCCCTTGAACTTCCAGCTTCCAAAACTGTGAAAAAAATTAATCTCTGTTGTTTACAAGCCACCTGATCTATGGTATTTTGTTATAGCAGCACAAACAGACTAAGATACCTGGTTAAGATCTTAACCAGTGGGAATGTGCCCGTCACATTGCCCAGCAAGAGTCCTGAGCCTTATACATACTGCATTCAGTCTGGGCACACAACCTGAGCGGGATTCAGAAAACCCGTGAAGATTCACAGGCAAGCGCGAAGCAATTCAGGACGCTAAGGCCTATGTGTCAAGGTTAAATGAAGAGAGATTACTTGGCTTCAAGTGAAGGCTCTAGCCATGGATAAGACTCTTCTTTTTTCTATTTTTTTTCTATTTTTTTGTATTTTTAGTAGAGACGGGGTTTCACCGTGTTAGCCAGGATGGGTCTCGATCTCCTGACCTCGTGATCCGCCCGCCTCAGCCTCCCAAAGTGCTGGGATTACAGGCATGAGCCACCACGCCCGGCCAAGACTCTTAAATAGATTATGATGATGACTTGGCTTCAAGTGAAGACTCTAGGCGTGGATAAGACTCTTACATAGAATATGATCATGACCATCATTCTCAGTATTTTAAAAGTAAAAATACATAGGTTGAAATGGTCTCAGGCATATCTTCTCTCTTTCCTCGCCCTCTCTCTGGTTTCTCGTTCTTTCTAGTATGTAAATGTATTTAAGTCTCTTCTATGAAAAGAAGGAAAGAAACATTCACTTGATGCCATTCTCTGGTTAAATCCTATCTCTTTCTTGGCCGGGCACAGTGGCTCACACCTGTACTTCCAGCACTTTGGGAGGTCAAGGCGGGTGAATCACTTGAGGTCAGGAGTTGAGATCAGCTTGACAAACATGGTGAAACCCCATCTCTACTAAAAATACAAAAATTAGCCGGGCATGGTGGCGTGCATCTGTAATCCCAGCTACTCAAGAGACTGGGGCAGGAGACTCGCTTGAACTGGGGAGGCAGAGGTTGCAGTGAGCCAAAGTCACGATACTGTGCTCCAGCCTGGGTGACAGAGCAAGATCCTGTCTCAAAAAACAAAAGCAAAGAAAAATCTATCTCTTTCTCATTTCACAGCTGGGCATCTTGATGGTGTAGACTGCACTGGTCTCTGCTCCCCATCTCTCATGCTGACCTCTGTCCCCTGCCATAGAGCGTTCCTTCTCCCCATCCCGCTGAAACTGCTCTGTTCAGGACACCAATAAACTTTTAGTCACCAAATCCTGTGGGCACTTTTTTCTTGAACTTTTCATTTTCAAGTTATTTCAGACTTACAGAAAAATTGCTAGTACAGACAACTCTAAAAGATTCTTATCCAGATTGAACAATTTTAAACATTTGGTCACATTTCATTGTTTTCTCTGTCACTCCACACATAAACACACAAATATACATCTATATACAGATATGTAATTATTATTGCTTGCATTTTTGGTATTTAGCTTTTCCAAGCCATGGAGCCTTCCTTATATATGCGTTGCATGTGTAATGCCCCTTGCACGGCACCTCACTGCTGCGTACCTGCTTAGACTGTGAACCATGTCTTCTTCAGTCTGAGTCCTGGGATGCGTGAGGCAGACAGCAGCCCTTACCAACTATGTCAACTTTTCCCTCCCTAGACCACAGAAACAGCAGCCAGGGCTGTCATGGTTCCTTGTTCCTCTTCCCACTTTCACACCTTTGCCCGCATTTGTCCTTCCAGGGGGAGTGGAGATACTGACTCCTATGGGGGGTATTTCTCTGTCTTCTTAGGGCAGAATTAGGTACTCTTTTAGTTCCACTGCATTTTGTACCCACGTCCATATTACTGCATTATAATGATTTCATAACCGTATTCCCACTAAAGTATTGAACTCCTAGAGGGGAGGTACTGCTTTAAAAAAAGATAACCTTGGCTGGGCACAGAGGCTCATGCCTGTAATCCCAGCACTTTGGGAGGCCAAGGTGGGCAGATCACCTGAGGTCAGGAGTTCGAGACCAGCCTGACCAACATGAAGAAACCCCGTCTCTACTGAAAATACAAAATTAGCCGGGCGTGGTGGCGCATGCCTGTAATCCCAGCTACTTGGGAGGCTGAAGCAGGAGAATTGCTTGAACCTGGGAGGCGGAGGTTGTAGAGAGCTGAGATCGTGCCATTACACTCCAGCCTGGGCAAGAAGAACGAAACTCTGTCTCAAAAACAAACAAACAAAAAAACAAACTTTCTTCAAGTTTTATTTATTGTTTTAAAGAATTTTTGTTGTTGTTTGCTTGTTTTTTTTGGTTTTTTTGTTTTTTTGTTTTCATATCTTTTGGGCCAGGCACCTAATCCACAGTGCCTGGAATACAGTAGATAGTCAATAAATATTTGTTGTGTTAAATATTTTGATTTTGCATAAAGATATTTCACATTAGTGAGGGTTATTGCTGTTAGGGTAGGCTTATGAAACTTTGAAAGTCATTTTTCAAGAAAAAAATTTCAAATGAGGCCCATTTTCCCTTGGAGATATACTAAATAATCTTTTTATCTGTATTTTGCATTTTGTATTTTGTAGAGACAGGGTCTTGCTCTATTGCCCAGGCTGGAGTACAGTGGCACCTGTAACATCAAATTCCTGGCCTCTAGCAATCCTCCTCCTTGGCCTCCGAAAAAGCAATAGGATTATAGGCATGAGCCACTGTGCCTGGTCCATGATCTTTAAATGCATCTTTAATCAGTCAGTAAATATTTATTGAGCATCAGCCTTGGGCAAAGCATTGTGGTAGGGGATGTAGAGAAAAATACAATCAGTACCTTTAAAGATCTCATAGTGTAGTGGGTACAAAAGAAACACAGGTGCGGTGGCTCAGGCCTGTAATCCCAGTACTTTGGGAGGTCCAGGCAGATGGATCACCTGAGGTCAGGAGTTCAAGACCAGCCTGGCCAACATGGAGAAATCCAGTCTCTACTAAAAATTCAAAAATTAGCTGGGAGTGGTGATGGACACCTGTAATCCCAGCTACTCAGGAGGCTGAGACAGGAGAATTGCTTGAACCGGGGAGGCGGAGGCTGCCGTGGGCATAGATCCTACCACTGCACTCCAGCCTGGGCAACGAGAGCGAAACTCCATCTCAAAAAAAAAAAAAAAGAAAGAAAGAAAGAAAGAAACAAAGACAGCAGCTAATGAGACACGGCCAAATATGGCAGGCCCTGAGCCAGTGGTCCAGACTATAGACACAGCAGGAGCTGAAGGCAGAGGAGCAGGGTGGGAGAGGCTGGAAATCTCCATGCAGAGGTGGCCCTTGAGGAGGCACTGAAAAGAAGGCACTGGATTTGGGTAGTTGAAGAGGAAAAAGAAAGGCAGCCTGAAGTGTCTGTGTCCCAGAGTGCTGGGCCGGTGTGTAGCATGCAGTGGGCAGTCCACAAATCCTTTCCACCTAAAGAATGGGAAACATCCCTTAGGCCATTCATTGTTATTGTCATTTTAGGTCTAACACTTTTTAGATGTTTTGCTCCATGTCTTCATTCAGGAATGGGTTATAAGCACATTAATTACAGTATACGCAAAGAATAAAAAGCATTCTTTTGGCTTTCTTCTGATTTTCTTCCATACAAAAGTTTTACTGCCTCTGTCAAAGGTCATGACATCAATCAAGCACTGTGATTTTACTTGATTATTATTATTTTTTGGTCTCCATAGAGACTATCCAAAATTGCCAATGCTGACTGTATTTCAAGTCATCATGGCGGATATTAGGAAAAGTTTTCAGTTAGCAATAATTGCAACTTGTATAAATCTCACTGGTTATGATATTACCACTGGGCAAAGTTTTTTTTACCTTTTATCATTAGCTGAGAATCCTATGGTTTTCCTCAGTGACAATTATGAAAGCTACAGGTTGCAATAATCTTACATGCTTCAAATGTATTTTCTATAATAATTTAAATAACTAGACATACATGGTCATAGAATTCTAGCATTTTGCAGCTGTGATAGACCTTAAAGGTGATTTAAGCTAATCCTTCATTTAATAAAGAAGAAACTTAAGGCTTTGAAAAAGTTGAGATTTGCCCAGTCATGCATCAAGTAAACAGCAGGTCGAGGCCCAGAAATTCATCTCTTGTGACCCAGCCCATTACCTATAATGCATGGCAAACCTTAAGGTACTTCCTTTGTCCCCGGTTCCTGTTGACCAAGCTCCCCCGGCTCTCTATCAGGTCTGGTAGTGGATCCTGTCCTCCACATCCCACAGTCATGAGACATTTCAGTCCCCATCCTCTTAACTTCTAGGTGTGGCCTCACTGGCATCAACTTTCAGGAAGCTCTGGGTGAATGACTTTTTCTTTCTTTTTTTGCAACTCTTAAGAGTGGCCTGGAGGTCACTGGGGAGGAAAAGAGATGATTCGGGCTGTCCCTTCTTTCTAACCTCTCTGAAGCTGGGATAAAACTTATTATTTTTTTTTGCTATGTTTATCACTGTACATAGTTTTAACTGATGTCAACAGGCTCTACAGGTTCAGCAATTTCAAAGGACTCATCTCTTCTTAGGCAGGGATAAAACCCGGTCCAAGGGAGGCTCCACATACATGCGTCAAGAAAAACCTGAGCTTCTAGTGCTTTCTCTGTTTCTTTTCTTTTTTCTTTTTCTTTTTCTTTTTTTTTGAGATGGAGTCTCGCTCTGTCGCCCAGGCTGGAGTGCAGTGGCATGACCTCGGCTCACTGCAACCTTCGCCACCCAGGTTCAAGCGATTCTCCTGCCTCAGCCTCCTGCGTAGCTGGAACTACAGGCACCCGCCACCATGCCCGGCTAATTTTTGTATTTTTAGTAGAGTTGGGGTTCACCATATTGGCCAGGCTGATCTCAAACTCCTGATCTTGTGAGCCACCCACCTCGGCCTCACGTGCTAGGATTACAGACATGAGCAACTGGGCTCGGCCTAATCTTTGTGTTTTTAGTAGAGATAGGGTTTCACCATGTTGGCCAAGCTGCTCTCGAACTCCTGACTGACCTCAGGTGATCCACCCATCTTGGCCTCCCAAAGTGCTGGGATTACAGGTGTGAGCCACTGCGCCCGGCCTTTTTCTGTTTCTTCTAGAAAAACAGTGTGGAGAATTTCGGAAAAATCTTCCTGAAATCACATTTATGATTTCAAAGTAGTACACCCATGGCCAAAAAGGATGTCATCACGCTAAATGACCAGTTGGTAAGTTTTTTATATTCTGAAAATGAGGGTTTGATGAGGCTCTGGGAGTTCCCATCCAGTTTTCAGGAATAGTGTCCCCATTGTCTAGGAATAAGAAGTAACTGCCAACTACAAAAGGAATCAGACTTGGGAGCAGCACAGAATTGGACAATTCTTTGGAACTGTGATTTTTCCTGCATGTCTTTCCATGCCTTCCTTCTGTGTGGGATTCTAACTGAGTATGTTGAAAGTGTGATATGATTATTTTCTTCCAGCAAACAGAACCCTTGGAAAAACAGGTAGGGTTGGCTGGCTGAGCAGGCCATGGCTCCTCTGCGCAGAAGCCCGTCTTACCCATAGGAAAGTGGGTAATTATTCTCAAGCATAAAAATAAACCCTTAAGTGATAAGAACTCAGTCACGATCATTACTTATATTCAGCAGTATTGCTTGAAACACACTTAAAATGCAATCTAGCAGGTAACCTTTAGCTGTTGTGCTCTTTGATGCCATTTGTCTTCAGGATCGATGGCAGCATTTTCAATTTCCTTGGCATTCTGAATAGACGTCTTGTCTGTTACTCTGATGGGGTAGGAGATCTAGGTAGGTAAAACACATACAGCATGTTAACTGGATTCATTTTAGTCTTAGAGCCATGGGACTCAAGTCAGTGCACTCTAGAAAACCGTCCTGCTGGGCTAGGTTTTATTTTCAGTTAATTTCAAGGATTCCTCTCATCAGTCCTCAGGGACCTGATTGTTCCCAAGGAAAATGGGAATAAACAATGTTTTATCTTGCAGACACGAAGAGAAAACTGGTGCCTTAAGGTCAAACTATTACTTACTTTACATGCTCAATACATACTCAGGAGACCCAATTTTAGAACAGTTATCTGAACTGGATGCAGCAAGTAACGTTTGATCATGCCAATAGAAACACCATGAAATAACACGACATGCCGAGATGATGACGACAACAGAAATAACAATGTTTTTACACATGGAATGCTCGTGGTGTGCCAGCATCTGTCCTAGGCCCTTAGCACACAATGTTCTCAGGTAATCCTCACAACCACCTTATTAGGTATGCATATGTTATTACTCCCTTTTTGCAAATGAGAAAACAAAGGTACAGAGAGGTTAAGTAATTTGCCCAGGATCAACAGCTAGTAAGTAGAAGAGCTGGGTGGTCTTTCTCCGGAGCCTGCACATGCAACAGTGTTGCTAACTCGCTTATTAGAAATATCCTAGACCTGCATGATTAGTAGTTTTGGTACTCAGAGAATTTGAATAATGTAAAGTCGGTGGTTCTCAACTTTAGTTAGATATTGGAAAAACCGAGGAAATTAAAAAAAAATACTAATGCCCTGATCCCACCTCAAACCCATTAAAGCATAAGCTCTGGGAGTGGCCCCAGACATCAATATATTTTAAAAGTTCCCTATCTACTATTTAAAAAATTTTTTAAACTCCAGACACGGTGGCTCACGTTTATAATCAAAGCACTTTGGGAGGCTGAGGCAGGTGGATCACGAGGGCAGGAGTTCAAGACCAGCCTGGCCAAGATGGTGAAATCTCCATCTCTACTAAAAACACAAAAATCAGCCAGGCGTGGGGGCCAGTGCCTGTAATCCCAGCTACTCGGGAGGCTGAGGCAGAGAATTGTTTAAACCTGGGAGGCGGGGGTTGCTGTGAGTTGAGATCATGCCACTGCACTCCAGCCTGAGCGACAGAGTGAGCCTCCGTGACAGAGTGAGCCTCCGTCTCTAAATAAATAAATAAATAAATAAAGCTCCCCAGGTGGGTCTAATCTGCATCCAGGTTTGGGAAATATGAATGAAGGCAGCTACACAGGATTTAGGTTCCTAAATTATTTAAGGACCCTTCATTGCCTCCATTAGTTACCTGTTTTAAATCAAGAAATTAGTGTCTGTGCTATGTGGCATTCTAGCCCTCAGGATGTACTGCAGGAAGAAAACTTAAAGTTATGCAATCTTAATGCTGGAAAATATTCTGGAGATAATCCAGTTTTCCAGTACATCCACACCATCCCTGGTAGATGTTTACTCGCTGTCTGCCTAAATTTATGCCCCATTTCCTGGCAAGACTTACCTTACCTGTTTGTCAGTATTAGTATGTTTAAAGATCTTCTATGGGTTGAGGAGGAGAAAAGAAATCTCTTTCAGGCATGATGAACATATTGCTCCCTAACTGAGCAACCTGAATGCCAGAAAGCTCTTCCTTATATGCACAGATATATGTCTCTGTAGTTTCTATGCCTCTGCCCTCTGGAATAACACAGACCAGACTAACCCCTTCTTCAGACAACAGTTCTGCGCGGGTAGAAGCTGACCCCGGTCTCCTGTGAGCCTGCTCTTATTTAGAGGACCGACTGTCTCATTCCCCTGTGCTGCAGTCCTCCGGTCAGCCTCCTCTGCCCACTCTCTGTTCCACTGCCTAGAAATGCTGTTAAGTCTCTCCCCGCAGAACTGATGTAATTAGTTTTAAAATTTAGATTTAGGACTTTACAAGCGTTTTGTTACATTTCCTCTGGCAGGCTGTGTAGTGGAGAAGCAGCAAGGTGTATGACTAGAAAGAACTTGGGTTTTGGGACCTGTCCTGTTTGTGTTCAGATCTTCTGTCTGCTGTTTACTTTGACTTCAGACTTGTATTCAATACAGAAAGAGGTAAAATATTTGTTAAATATTAAGTGATAAGTAAATATTTGACAATGAGGACACCCTCATTCCTGACCACTCAATGTGGCTTCCCTGTACAAAACACAACATGTTGTTTCTTTTATTTCAGGTGTAACCTTACTTCTACCCGAGCTATCTCTATTAACTTTGCTAAAGTAACTATCACAATTACTGTATTTATATAGAGAGAGAGATAGGGCAGATAGACAGTGTGAACGTTTGAATACTTAAGGTTAATCTGAAAGTGGGAAAAAGTAAAAACTTTTTAACATTTTTGTGCTTGAATTTTCATTCCTAAAACACGAAACAAAAACAGACTATTTGATCA